AAGAACAGTCTGCAGAGTCCATAACAGTCTGCAGAGTCCCTTAACTGATGATATTGTAAGTGATAATCCACATCAACCCTGGTTGCGGGCTAAAGCATCGACGACTGCCAGACAACTGATACCCTGAGGTGGTGGGGACCACCAACCACTCCCCTCAAGGTACCTGTGACGAAAATCAAAGCTGGCTATCACTCACCCACACCGCAGGGGGAAACTCTACAGACTGCAGGTTCACACCCCATTATAAGTCAGCAAAACACCCACAAAATGAAGAAAGGTCTGTCACAGCCACCAAATGAACTCCAAACACGCCGCTGGCTTTCGAGGCACAACATGGTCTCTCGTATTGACGGCGCCAACCACTGACCGGAGAAAACCATAGCAGGGAGCTAGCGAGGTCAGCAAAACACCCACAAAATGAAGAAAGGTCTGTCACAGCCACCAAATGAACTCCAAACACGCCGCTGGCTTTCTCGAGGCACAACATGGTCTCTCGTATTGACGGCGCCAACCACTGACCGGAGAAAACCATAGCACGGAGCTAGCGAGGTCGGACGTCCCAATATATTATGCACAGAGCATTTGCGAAAAACAGTGCGTAGGTCTGCTCAGGCATGTAGGCAATTGTATCAGCGTACATGCAGTGCCGGTGTACAGGGGTTATGATCCTGCTAAACTCACAATACAAAACCCAACTTGACACAAATGCAAGGTTTCTGGCCTGAGAAGTGGAAAAAGACAGAGTGGAGTAGAATGTTGAAGAAGAAGAAGAAGAAGAACACAAGTTCGAACGAATGTGATCCCTCTCTCTTCTGGCCAAACTCATCTTTTCTTCCAGTGAAGAATAAATTACTGTTGAATGGATGAACAAGAATCAATGTTCGATTAACTTCCAGCATTTTCCCTTCAGCCTCGCTCTCACTATTCTCCTCTTGGTAGCACGGCTAGCTATGGGGGGACAGCTATGAGCACCGTGATTGTTCAAAGGACAACCCAACTACTGTGCCTCCCCCATCTAATATTGCCATAGCCCCACACTTCTGGATGAAGTCCAAGACCAACCGGTATCACAACAGAGGCCTTCTGAACGTAGCACCAACCAAGGAAGTGGAGATGAAAGTCCACCATAGGAAAAAGGTTAGGTTCTCATGTCGGTTCCCTCCTTGGTCCTTTACCTCAACCTCTACTCGCTTCCTCTACCTTCCTGTATAGCCAGGCTTTAGGTTCTTCTCCCTCTACCTCCGTAGCCTAGGCCTGCTCCCTTCTACTACCACTCCTCCATAGCTATGGAGGTCTTGTTCCTCACCCTTGAGCTCCCTCTCTTCCACCCAGAGCTCTGCCTAACTCACCCTCAGGGCGGAGCAGCGGAGCAGTGGAGCAGCAGCATGACTGCTGGTGGAATGTGCCGGCCTGCCGATTGCATTGAGGGATGTACTCCCGGACACTACCATCCGAATAGAACGCCCGCCCGGTCATTATAGCTACATCTGGTGGAATTTCGACTCCGGATACAGCTATAATGACCACCGCATCCGGTGGAATTTCGATTCCAGGTACAGCTGTAATGACCGGGCCTTCTATTCGGGAGGCTTACTGGAAGTTCCTGCCTTGTGGCGGGAACGCCATTGCAGTTTGTAATCCAGTTTCAGGGCCTGTGCCCCTAACTTTATATCTACATATGTATGGCCTCTGGACAATCATGACCTCTTTGGAAGCTACATAAACTTTCTAAGGCTACGGGACTTCTCTACGCCTACCTGAGTCACTGGAAAATCCCACCAGGTACTTGCCAAATTCTACTTATGTCCTTGTCCGTCCTGGACTTCCTATTATTCCTTTGACCAGGTAAATTTTTAGATAGTTCTTGCCGCTGTTCGGTCATATGCGAACCGAAGCAGGGCGTACCGAACGCCCACCAAAATCAAGATCATATTGTTTTTTTCTTTTTTTTAATTAAAGAAAAAGCACCTGAGCTAGGGAAACTGCGAAGCGATAGAATGGAAACTGACATCTGGTGAACCGATATGAAGAGATGTTCTAGTAGGTTGGATGGACTCACTTTGCACCACATCAAACCATGGAGCAATTTAGATGGCCAAACGCTTAAAGGGGGTCGGGCTCACAGAAACCGTGCATCACTTGAACTTAGAAATCTTCATTAAGTTAGACCAGCAAAACATCGATACTCACAAAACTACAGCAATCGCAGACTGAAACTTTGCGGGTGCAGGGGTGTTATATCCGTGTGTAGTGCTCTTTTTAGGTGGTAGGCAAATGGTAATTGGGAGAAGACGGTAAGCACCTAGGGGATTCTTGTAAGTATTCTCCTCCAGACTCCAGCTAACTGTTAAAATCACCATCTTTGGGGTTTTGTTGTGGTATTTGTTTGCTGCCTCGACCTAGGAGGTAGAGAAAGTCAGCAGCTCAGCCCAGGGCTCTAGACTGCCTGCAACTGTGAGCATCTACCGTTTCAGCAGAAAGGGCAGCCAGTCGTTTGCACACCCACATCATTTCAGCAGAAAGGGCAGCCAGGTGTTTGCACACCCACACCCCTTCAGCCGGGAGACATACCCAATCGCTGAAACTGCCACTCCAACGGCCCCTGCACTGTTCATTTTTTTTGTCTACAAGTACCGGGTCAAAATCTACGCTGCCCACGACCGGTAGAGGTTCCGTGGGAAAGGGCACCACAATTAGTTTTCCTCACAGTGGTACTTCGAATTTTAGGCGGGGGGAAATGCGAGTTTTGGTTTGTCAAAATAGGCCTTCCTTAATGATGAGCGGAATGTGGATCTGATTTCCTTATTGGACATTTCCTTACCCTCAAAGACCTGCAGGTTTCTCACTTTCCATATCACCGCTGCTTGTGCCATATATCCCCAGCCCTTCTTGGTATCACTACCTTCTGGGACTCCTCCAAGAAGAATCCATTCCCTGTTCCAGTTGAACTTGTTCCCAGTAAGGATTCCCCATTGATTCGCCCACCATATTAAGGAGGCTTATCCAAGCTGACTGGCGCAGAAAGGGAAAACGAAGCCAGAATGTTTGGTTCGGAGAAACATGGGGCCTGGAAGGCAAGTTCGCAAAATTGGAGGTTGGTAAACTGGTTCTGACAGTTGGTTCTGGGCTGATTAAAATTGAAGCGGAACCTGGGCACTCGGTTCGATTTTTCGCAGAAGGAGGGTAGAAGGTGAAGGATAGTGGAGGGAGAACTGCTGTCGCTGTAGACAGCCTGTTTCACAGCATGGGTAGTGCACAAGTAGATGAGTACAGTAGGTAGATGAGTACAGTAGGTTAAGTTGTAGACTGCAGTGCGGTTCCTGTAGGATTAGTACTTTTTTTCGGTTTGTTTGGCTTTGTTGGCCTGTGGCGTGTTTTTTTTTTTTGGAGGGATCTTGGTTTTATGGTTTGTTCGGTTTTTGATTGGTCTGAGACGTCTTTTATTACGGGACTTGAATTTCAGGACAGCTGCCTAGATTTGGCAAATTCTGTGCCTAGATCTTTTCTAGTTTCCTTGTTCCTTTTTTTTTCAGGATTAAATGAAGTCTACAGTTCTCTCAGAACTGGCAAGCATGTGCTCGTAAGCTAAACTGGCTGAGGCTGCCAGGATAACTCCGGGTCGAATTGTAAGGTCCCCGGCCTCAACTTTACCTGGTTAATGTGATTGAATTGTGATTAAAAAAAAAGGCCTTCCTGATGGAGTGGTGGTTTAACGGACTATGTGTGTCGAGTGCTTGCTAGTTCCCTGCGGTCGGATATGCCACGTCAATGATGTGGCTGCATATCCATCCAGAACATGTATCAAACGATGACCTCCTATCTCCACCTCCGGTGAACCTATTATAACCAACTCATCTAGTCAAACCATGCTACAGAAAGGAAAAAACAACAAAGTTTCTTGACCCACATAGAGGCAAAGTGCTGCCTCTACAGAATGACACACTACCCTAGCCCAGTCTTATCGTGCCTTCCGTGGGGCGCAGCGCGTCCACGTGAGCTTGAGGGATGTCCTAGCTATTTCAAATCCACACGAGCGGCACGGTGGATAATCTGAGTGAAGGTACTCCCTGAACTGGGCACAAGTTGTCACCAGCCTTGTTGGCGATTTCATAATCGGGAACGCACAAGTTGTCACCAGCCTTGTTGGCGATTTCATAATCGGGAACGCAAATGATTCTGTCTAATTTGAATTTGTAGACTGGCAATCCATGTATCCCCTCTTGCGCCCATTCTCTTTGATTTCCAAAACACTGAACCCCACCTCGTGAAGATTTTGAGGGAGAGATCGGGCAAAGTACCAAAAGTCTCAACTTCAAAAGAACTCTCAACCCCATCTCTTGAAGATTGAGAGGGAGGGACAGGTCGAAGTACCAGTTGCCTAAATTCTTCTTTGACAAAGTAATCTGACGAGAAACAGCGAATCTTGCTAAGTGCGGCACTGTGCCACTGTCTGTTCTTTGGCACCTTTGTCACCGGGGGTGGAATTCATTTTGTTGGTTCATGCGGTCCTGAGGCCACTGTGGCCCTAAGTGAAGGCTGAATCCGGGCAAAGTGGGGGCCGCTGCCAGACTGCCCCAGGTAGCTGCCCAAAATCGGGGCCCTGACCAAGCACACTACCTGACCCAGTCGGGGCCAGGCCGGAGGCAGTCCCTACTGGCCTGGGAATCCGGATCCCAGCCAGAGATGAAAAGAGGAGGCCAGGCAAGAACAACCGGTTCGGGCCGCAGGCACTTGCACAGGAGCACTGGCAGAGCAGCTAGGGATGAGAAAAGACATCTTGCACCCTCGGGAGAAATGACGTCTATTTTTGCAATTTCAGTTGCAGTTCGCAAGGTTGTGGGTGTGCCACTCATAGTGGGTGATTATCGTGTGTGGCCACATGTGCTTGCATTTGTCATAATGACCCTACGGATGACTCAGTGAGTGGCAATATGCTGTGTGGGTGCATGAAAACGCTTCTGAGCAAACTGTTCTCTCTGTGTGTGTATACGTGCATGCAGGTGATTTATGGGTTGGCTTTGAGAATGGCT